GATCTCAAAAAAGAACAAAGCGAAGAAGGCAATGTAATGGATAAAACAAGATTAGAGCATAATTATTGGAAAACATTGATGTATTTGTGTGTAACAGCTTTTGCAACACTCGCGTTCACTCTCGGATATTATTACATTGAGGTAAAATTATCTTATTTATATTTAAAGTGCTTTAAACTGAATTTAAATCAAATCCATAATTTAAATTTATTTTCTATTTTAAGATCATATTTAAACCTTATTTTCTGATTTATTTCTGTTTTGCGATATGATTAGCTATACAAAGTATTTAAATTATTCAATAAACATAACATTGTTTAATAAAGTTTAATGATAAATATGTTTCTATTCAGAATATAAGAAGAGATGGACAATTTATTGCAAGAATTAATGAACTCGAGAAAGAGTTGTTAGTTTCAACAAAAGAATGTGAAGTTCTCAGTGAGAATCTAAAATCTACCAAAGATAAGGTGAGCAGTGTACGTGAGCAAATTGATGACTTGCTATTTTAACACATTTTCTTTTTCAATTATTAAAATTTGAACATATTATATATCACAACTTTAATATTGTAACAAGTAAGGGATAATGTCTATAAAACTTAATTGTTATGTATTCACAATATACAATCTTAATCAATCGTTTATTATTGTTTAAATATTTTAGTTGCATTGCATAGAAGATGAATCATTTGGTTCTAATGAAATGGTTGCATCGCTAAAAGCTGATTTAGAAATGTCACAGGTACATGCACAAGTATTTTTTGTTTTTTTTTTATTATGTCTGTATGAATTAAAAATTGCACATCTTGACATCTGTGTTTTTCTGTCGTAGAACGCAAAGATGGAGTTGGAAGATCAAGTTATTTCATTGGAGAAAGAATTGGAAAACATATCAGAAGCTGGTTTAGAAATGGAGCGTATGCTAAGAGAAATATTGTCGTCGAACAATGAAGTTAATCCGTTAGCTCAATCCGTGGAAAATCTACAGACGCGATTAGACACTCAACAAGCCGCAAACGAATCCTTAACAAATGCGTTAAATCTTAAGGCTCAAGAGGTAAGAGCAATTTATTTACAATATATTGTTTGCAGGTTAATTTTATTTCATTAAAAAAGCATTATTTTTTTATTTCTTAATTATGATACAGTGTGAATTTGAAGTTAATATTCGTTACAATGTTTATATATCTATACGAATATAATAAACATTTGAAAAAGCTAATATTTATATTCGCATGTTCGCACTTTTTATGTGCAGTAAAACAGAGCACTTTAATGCTCTGTTTTACTGCCTGTTTATTTATTTGTCTATATTAATTATTAACAGATGATTTACACGTTAAATACAATAAATTTATTTCAGATTGAGACTTTATTAGTAGAGCTTACTTCTGCTAAAAAGAAATGCGAGGAGCTTGAAGTAAAATATTTGCAGATACAGGATGAATTGGCGACTCAGAAAAATCTTAAAAATAATACCGAACAAACGTTAACGGATAACATACATAGTTTGGAAGAGCAAATAGACCAAGTAAATTCGTAATTATATACATTAATCAAAATTAATACATAACAATTAAAATATACTTTAATTACTGATAGATAATGGTTCAATTATTAAGATGTACTATTTCCTTAGTTGTCTATTGAAAAGTCATCGTTACATAAAGAATTAAAAGGCAAAGAGATAGAAGTGAAAGAACTATTAGAAATTATCAGCCAAGTTAAGTCAAACAATTTAGATCTGGAAAAGTTATATGACGTATCTCGCATTAAAATTGAAGCAGTGCAATTGCGTGAAGAGAGAGACGAATTAAAGATGCGATTAAACGATGTTAATGGAGCTCATCAGTTATTAGAAGGTACTTTTTAAAGAAAAGGAAATTTTATTGATTTAATAATTTTTTGAACTTTTTTAAATCTTATTCATAATAATATGTTTGTGTTCTAGAACATATGAAACTTGTTAAGGAAGAAATAGTTACGTTAAGCGATCAGTGTAAAATGGCTGAAAAAGAAAAGAAAGATGCGGAAACACGACTTGAAGTTTTATCAAAGTTTTTCCAAGATAAGGAAACCGAACGCCAAAAGTAAGAGATGATTAACCCTTAGAATTACACATTAAAAAAATTATACTTAAACAAACAATTAAAAACTTTATAATCTCATCATAGGGAAGAGACTATTTGGTTACAAAAACAAGGAGAAGTTGTATCAACAGTTGAAAGATTACACACAATGCAAAATGAAATTCAAAATTACAAGTAAGTATTATTTGGTATGATATGTTCAAGGAGAATTTAATTTATAAAAAGTTAACTTTTGTGCGCATATCATAATTATAAGAATTTATGTAACAAGTTTATGTGCTATAATTATCATAGAAAATTGAATTTTAGGCAACAAATAGAAATGTTACAACGGGAGATCGTGGATCAGGAGAGGGAGTACAAAAATCAAATATCCGCTCTAGAAACAAAGGCACATGAGCAATGGGTATGTGTAATATATATAGGAGAAAAATGTGAGTATTTTGTGATACGTTACTGAGAAAACTTATATTTGTTTTATAAGGTCGCTGCCCGTCAAAATGAGCGTCGTTTGGAAGAATCGAAAGCTGAGGCCGGCCAATTACGTAATCGTCTTACACTCGTAGAGAAAAATTTAAATGGTACAGATCCTGAAGCAAAGTTACATCGTAAGTATTTCTCTGTTACAAAATGTTAATTATACTCGTATTTAGTCCAATAACGAATAATTAAATACAATTTTTAGTTTGAATCACATTTTATCATCGATCATTGTTACACATTAACTTTTACTTTTTCCATATAGAAATATACATTCATTCTTTATAGACGAATAAGAATTTGTCATAAAGTTCTTGTAGAAATTATAACACACAGTAACGTTGCGATCCATAGAGTAAGATCGTTTAGTTTCTTAGAAAATAATAATTGAAAAATATGTATAATGTTATATTATCTCTGAGATGATAAGCAACGTTCATCTACAGACGGTGGATTGCAAAGTACCGCACGACGGAATTTATACTTTGGATTGTCTGTTTTCTTAAACTGATTTCCAAATACAGGCCTGGAAGCGAATGGAGAAACTGTGACTTCCCCGCCACTATTCATAGGAGCAGAATCGTCTAGTTCTCCCGTAATGTTTAGCAGTTCCTCAGGAGTTCCGCCACCTCCGCCACCTTCCTATCTACACTGTTTCCCGCCGTATCTACCACCCTTACCGCCCGCTGCTGTTTCTGGTCTACCTCCGTATGATATCGGTCAACGTCCTCCGCCACTCGGAGGCAGATTGTCGTCACCTCCACCGATGTTACCGCCACCGGCGTTACATCGTTCCCCGGCTTCCGGGGGCAGATACGAGAATGCCGGTTCCCCGCCGCCACCTATGTCTCCACCGCATTTACTTCCACCGTTTGACCATCATAGATCACCACCACTACCTCCGTTCGGTAGTGATCATATTCCACCCCTTCCTCCACCTGGCTCAATATTGCCGCCTCTGGGAACGGCACATCCATGGGGTGAAGATTCACTGCCGCATCCGCGCAATTCTGGTTTTCATCTTCATCAACGAGAACGTACGCGCAATCATAAAGGTTTGTGAAAATCATGACAGAGAGCGACTACACGTATTTCATCGGCATGCCACGTAGCGTTAATCCGTTAGAACAGCCTGACGTTTTCCGCCCTTTTGGGAAGTTTGTACTTTAGTTATTTTTTTATTATTATCTGCCTTTTTATTTTTGTGCATGCAAGGACACAAACGTTTCTCTAAAGTGAAACAGTTTTGGAGTGCTATGGAAGGAAATAGTCCCAAATAAAGAGTCAGGTTAAAGAGTTTATAATCAACGATTTTAATTTATGCTAATGGCATACATAATGTACTTTTAATTTTTTAAGCATAATTTTGATATTTTTTATTATTCTTATTATTGCCATTGAAAATCTTTTTATAAAATTCAGATTAAAAGTTAGCTTCAATTTATTAATTTTTTAATAAGTTTTTATACAATATTGTATTAAAATTTATTTTTTTAACATCATTCTGTATTCTAGATCGTAGAATAAATCTTTTTACTTGTGTGTATTGCAGTAATTAAGGAACATAAAAAAAAAAAGATATTTTACTTAATTAAATATTAATCTTTTTTAGGTTCCTTACATTCTTCGGGAGAATCACTGGATAAAGCACATCACGGGAAAGTCTAAGTTTTGTATCTTGTTATTCAATACACTTGTACAAAGGCCAAATCATCACTGTATCAGTGAGAGTTCTCATTGTGTAACAATTATAAATAAATATGTGATGATAAAAATTTTATGTCAGATATTAATAGAAGAAACGTATTACTATACACAGGAATTTATTAAACAGTGTCATCTGTCAACGTTATTGTATCTGTGATTATTATATAGTAGACTTTCTGTTGTTTTATTTAAAAGTAGCAATCTTTTTATCATTAGTTATCTGATAAATTAGTCCTTTATTTTATGATTTTGAAAATGGTGTATAATAAATTATTTATAAGAATTGATAAAAATATTTTTATATCAATTATGAAAACGTAAGAAACATTGAAAATTTGTAATTATATATTTCTAATAATATATTATAGATAGCAAATGTTCATAGTAAATAAAATATTGTAATAAAGCTCTTATAAATCTTAATTATGTAGATTATAAAAGATATAATTGTTATATTATACAGTTTTAAAAATCGAAATAAATTGTAATTTATTACGGTAGGCTGTGTTATCAGAGTTATTGCAGATTTAAATATATAACTTTAGTGCTAAAATAAAGGAAATTAAATATTTTTATTTTTCTATCTTTTAATCTGTATAATTAAAGTGAAATGTTATAATTATTTGTGATATAAGTGTGTATATATAAACTATTTTTCACTTTTATGTTTATATAATTTTTTATAAAACAATTTGTATAAGTTATTGGTAAAATCGTTTGCTCCAAAAAATGAAAATTATGCATTTATTACCTATAGAAATATTTTCTTTTTACATTTTTGTATTCAACAAAATGCGAGATATACAAGTAACATAATATTTAAATACTTACAATAGTATTTAAATGTACTTACAGTATTCACAATTCAAGAAGGGCGAGGAATGCACGCAATATTGTTATAGCCTGCATGTATGTTGCAGCTTTGTAAAAACCATTTTCTCTCTGTTTCTTATATCACAAATAGTGGATATGGATGATAAAAGTATAATGATATTATAATTATCAATAATGTTATGCTAAGAATACTACGAAAAATATAAAGAAAAATATCAGGACTGCAAATATCTTTATCATTAGCCACCTATTACTTGTCACAGACTGAAAGTATCTCAGTATTTCGGTGTGTGCAGCTTCCACGTTTAGCTCAGTATCTTCCATGTTGCTATCTATCCTGAAAGTTAATTATATTTAAAAATTAAAAATATATATTTTCAGTACTTACGAAATATTTTAACAAATTAAAATACTTTTCTATTTTCAAGACAATTGCCTTTATTTTTTTTAGATTTATATTACATTATGTCTTTTACCTTTCAACCATTTCTTCTTGTTCCTTAACCATATGCGCTAATTGTTGGAAAATACCTCCTAACTCAACTATAGTAGACTCTATATTTTGCATAGTTTCAGCTCTCGATTGCATATACGCATCCTTTAAGAAGCAAATGTATGTATTCCTATATTATATTTTTTACTTAATTCACAGTCTTGCCACTATTACTTACAGTATCATCTTGTATAATTTGTTGCAACTGCTGATTCATCACAGGTTCAAGATCTATCGCAACTGAACTACTAGAAATTTCTTCTTGTAGTAATAAAGAACCTTGTCTTCCAGAAACAACACTCGGAGGGAGCATAGTAGACAGAGATCCTTGAGTAAACTGCTGTCTCCTGCTTTGTTCCTCTCTCATATTCTACATCAAATGATTTATTTCTTAACATTGTAAAGTTGTTATTTAATTATTTCTTAATATGTATATAATTATTTCTCAATTTCCCATAATATTTATAATTCTATATTCTTTTTGTTAATATCAATTAAATTTATTGTTATTCAATAATATTGCCAACAAAAAAGATCAAGAAAATATGTAATTTAAAATATGTAAAATATAAAATATACAATATTTTAATGTAGAAATTAATTGATGCTGTACTGAAATATTCTATAACAATAACTGACTATGATATAAAAAAATGTTTATTTTATAATATTTAAATCTAAAGACCGTCAATGTACGACTAATACAAATATGAAGCCTATACAGTCTAGTTTGGATCTTAGTCACTTATATGTAATTTCACGTGAATTTATATACTAATATGTGTAGTCTTTCCAAACTACGTGCCGAACAATTGTCAGTCTTGAAATGCAACTCTAATAAACTACCGTAGTACTATCACGAATTAAATTAACAATTTAATAATTAATTGTATATATTAATTAATAATAATAACAATGCTCTTTTTGGCATCTTATATCGATATTGAACTATATTAAAATTTGAAAAATACTAAATCTGGAAATAATTCTTATTGCGAAAAATATTACATTAGCCAGTAAATGTTTATTTTATGTTACATACCTCTGAACGAACTTCCAAAACACTTTTGAAATGATTGGACATATTAGCTAGCTTTGATTGTAATGTCATCACAATTGAAGAAGAATGCGAAGCAATGTGATGACTTTGGGAAGAACCAAAGCTTTCTCTCTGCGACTTTCCAAGCTCTTGTAATTTCCCGATTTGAAGATTTAAGCCTTTTAGATCCGTTTTTATAATATGTGTAAGCTCTTCAATCTCTGTTTGTCTGTCGTTAAATATGGATTTTTTCTTAGCCACTGTAACGTACAATATTAGTTATTACAGAACATTTTAAAATGTTTTGTTAGTAGTTCTGCTATCATTTTAGTACGTTCCAATTATTTTTATTCTATTATATATCATAAAATGCTGCAAAAACAATCTCCTTTGTATAACTAATGTACAGTTTTATTATTTGCAATGTCCTACTTGGACGCAACATATTGTAACCGTTTAATCTACGTTCAGCTGAACTCTTACACAGGGCAAGTTTCTCCAGCTTGATAAAAGTGCCAGTAATGTTTCTGCTAATGTTCTTAGCTATCATCATGAAGTTCGAGTAACTCTGTATCTGGCGTGCACGGCGCGGATTTTGCAGGTTCGCTGTGGTCCGCGCCACGGTCCTGCTCTGCATGGAGCGGATTGCGTTGGCAAACTCATTGGTCCTGTCGCGGGATGTCATCGTCGTTGTTGTTGCCGTCGTCGTCGTCGTCGTTGTCGTCGGCTGTTGCTCACTTGAGTCCAAGTCAACAGTCTTCTCGCTCAGCAATCTGCTGCTCGCTTCGTTTCCATCGTGATAGTGCCGCGAGCTGCCCGAGCTCGCAAGGTCGCGATTTACCACGGGCCCTACAACATGACGTCTGCGTGCTGACATCGCAGCATCCTCTCAGCTTTCTCCACGTGCGCGTGTGTCCCGAGGGCTTCGACCACCACCGAGTCCGATAACGTCAACAGATTGCAGCGGTGGCGGCAACGGTGGCGACGACGGCAGCGGACACGTCCGCATGACATCCACACATGACAGTCTCCTCTGACAAGTCTGAAATGTGTGAATCAGTGTGTCTAGTTGAATACGCGTACACGTCTACAATTAGGTCATAGAAGAGGTACTGTCACGTGTGGCAAGTTTAAAGCCGCGTGGCGTACGCGATGACGCGCCATTTTTCCCGTCGACAGAAATACGCGCGACTTTTAAACGAAGGAACTTGTCGCAATGAACCAGAATCGATTCTAGTCGACTAAAAGTCGAAAAAATGAACTGTTGCATCTTTTGTTACATATAATTAAATTAGCTTTTAATAAGAATATGTAGTATAAACATTATCTTTAAAAAAATCTTTGAAAATATACTTGAAATAACTATATGGGATCAAATTTCCGCTATGTGATAATACAGCAAATAGTTCTTATAAGTATGCTTAAAATAGAATTTAGTTTTTATTATATTAAAAGCTAATTGTATACAACAAAAAAATATAATTCATTTTTTTACTTTTGGTCAGTTAAGCCAGCGGCACACGGTGCTTGTTTTCCTGCTGGATTGCTAGCTAGATCAGATTCTTGCCATCGGATTGGCCGCGATATTGGCATTTTCAGCACCGCAGCCAATACGGTGGCAAGATTCTAATCCAGCTAGCAATCCAGCAGGAAAACAAGCACCGTGTGCCGTAGGCTTTAGAATTGATTCTGGTTCACTTTGTGCCGTTTTGTGATTTCATTCCTTTTTGTATCTGACGATACATTTTGTTAACATTGTATTTACAAAAAAAAAATAATATCAAGAGAAAAAATTATTTAAAATTTAATTATATAAAATTACAATTTTCCAACTTTTTGGAAAAATTATATTTAAATTTTTAAAAGATCAAATATATTTGATCATTATATCTAATTTTAATCATTGCTTGATTTTAAAGTAAAGCTATTTTAAAGTAAACAGATGAAATACGTAAAATTCTCGAAAGCTATTATTAGTATAAACATAAAATGCTATCTAATGATAAAAAATGTCAATATTCTTTATTTTGTGTTATATATTGTTATTTACTCATTAAAAAAAAAAAATTTGTGTAACGTACATTATTTCCCCAAACTGTTAAGCTGGTTCTATAAAGGCACTAAAGATGTCGGTATTCTTATCCGCCATTTTTCGTATTATACCTTCTCATTAAGCTGGTTCTACATTAGTTGCAAGTCGATCGCAAGTTCGTTGCGACAGCCAATCTCAAGCTTGCATTTTGAAATCAACGCTTCAGCCCCTTTTAGTCACATCGCAGCGTCGCAAGCGTTATGGCCCAATCAGAGTCGAACTAGTTTAATATTCATTGGACTGCAATGCTTGCGACACTGCGACTAATGTAGAACTAGCTTAATAAACGCGGACAAAACAAAACTGCCTGCTCGCTGAGCGATTGAATATGATTGGTTGAAACTATAAGTAACAATCAATCATGTCTATTTGCTCAGCAAACGAGCTAATCGTTTTCTTTTAAGAAGAGAAAATTTGGGAAATTTATCTGCAGGGTAGCATTTATGAATTGCATTTATTGAAATATTTAATGTACATATTCACGCTGAACTTAAATCTATAATTTGGACTTATATATATATGTGTGTGTGTGTGTGTGTGTGTGTGTGGGTGCGTGCGCGCGCGCGCGCGCGTGCATGTGTGTGTTATCTTGAAACCTTAAGTACCGGTTATCAAAATTATTAGGATCAAATAACTAAATCGTAAACTTAATCGGACATATTAAACTTTATTGGACATATTTTATATATAATTATATGTATATTACTATTATTTTATTGTATATCAACTTACAGGATGACTTATACATTCTGTAAGAAATACATCTTTATGTCTGTATATACTACAGTATTATATACGACTGTATATACGACTTACAATCTATAAGAAATACATCTGTATGTATATGGAAATATGTGAAGGTAGCACAACAGGAACGCACATTTTTCTTTCTATAAAATTCTAAAAAAAATCGCAACGTTCCACGGTAGACATTTTAAATTTTTTCTCTGTAATTTGTTCATGAATATTTACCTGCGTGGATATTTGTAACCATAATTGTATATACCTTGAAAAAATTAGTGGTTTTTTTTTTAGCATTAAAGATACTAATGCTACGTTCAACAGAATAAACAGCTTTTTGTAACTGTTGTAAAATCCTTTAATAAGATTAGTTTTGTTCTTATAGTTAGTTTCTTACTAGATCTAAATATATCTATATAAACTAATTATATTAAAGAATCTTACAACAGTTGCAAAGCTGCTTTCGTTGCTAAACGTAGCCATTGTCAAGGAAACTGGAAGAGCTGGAATAGTTAATTGGATATATGCAAAGGAAATTTTCAATTTATGAAATATATTAACCTTATGTAATCTTTCACACAATAAAAGTCTCCGTGTCGTTTTATAAGTATACATAAAATATGTTAATGCGATACAGCAGCAATTTACTTTATATTAATAGTATTTGGTCTTATAAAACGTGACCAACGTTGAATCAACTGGACTGGCGTAAATATTTCACTTGGCGAACGATGGAGTGGTATAATTAGTTATTACAAAATGGCCTTGCATATATGTGTATATATGTATAACATATTTATGTATATTAATATATCAGCCAATAAACCGACGTGATATATGACGAAGCATGTGGCTTCGGTGCTTTCACCTTTTTTGCTCGATTTCAATTCATGTAAGGTAGAATAACGAGATACGCGAGAATTATACAGGAAATATATATTGATTACTAAATATCACTCATTAGTTATCGCACACCAGTTTCATTTTTACCAATTTATAAAATATACAAAAATCTTTAACGTCTTTTTGAAATGTCAGATACATAAACATGTACGGAATATAAATTAGAAGGGGGGGTCAAAGTAATTAATTTTTGAAAAATACGAGATGTTACATAACATTTTATTTCCATATCAATTACTAGTGCATATGTGTCTCTTAAGCGTATTTCATATGTATAAAATTCAATTGTTCAGACTATTCAGAGTATAAAATGTTCAGCTGAAAAACGTAAACGCACATTGGCCTTTAAATCTCATTTATTTTAATTCCACGTTTAACCGAGAGTTTTAATTTGATTCGAAAGCTTTTAATCAATTAATTAACTTTAAATAAATTCTCGCAATTAATTGAAACCAATTAGCCCCCCCCCCCCCTATTTCCAACTTGTATTATTTACGTATTTTAAAATATTCCAGCTTATTTTTTTCAGGAACAGCGATATTTTTTTCCGAAGAAACGCAGGTAAACGTTATATATACTACCGTATCGAGAAGCGATAGGAAACAACAGAAACATAACTTCATATATGTATGTATTACATGTATAATGTATATATATATGTATATATTACAGTAATGCTTTATATTTTAATACGATGCACACCGCGGTGTGGCATCGAAGTTACTCTACTACAGCCACGAAATAAAGGTCACTCCTTCTTCTTCCTAAAATCCACTCAGACATCGCTGATCGTCGACGTGTCTCGCGAGCAGACTGACTACCTTTTAAGCGGTCAGTGTTTCCGTGTTTTTCGGTATCTCGTTGTTGAACTCCTCGACCGTCTCGCGACTGTCTGATTCTGGTTCCGGCCTCACCGACGGTTGCTCCGTGCTGCCTCCGATCACTTCGGTCTCGTTTTGTGGCTTCACGTCGACTGTACGAATACGGAACACGGTGCCACTGTTATTATCACCGCTCACGAATGTTGTCTCGTTGATCGTCACCACATGACCGTTAATGATCTGCAATCAAACCATTTGTGAGTATTAAAGATTAGCTGCATCAGAAAATTGCCACGAAAACATCATTCTAAAATAATAATCTATAACTTTTCCCTAATTTCCAAACAAAATTTCATGATTTTCAATGACTTTCAATAATATTTAAACATTTTTTATATTTTTATTGTGTGATTTGGAAACCGTTAAATATTTTGTTGAGAGATAAATGTAACATAACAATGTAAATTATATATTATTGCACTGTAAAAAATAAAATGTTGATTTTTAACTTAAAGACTTGTAGTAAATTTTCTAAGACATCTTTGTGTTAATTTTAATATTTTTGCATGTCTCAGAAAATCCATTATACGTCTTTAAGTTAAAATTAACATTTTATTTTTTACAATGTAATTATTGTTACTGACGCTCGAATTTTTGACTATTAAAATGATAGTATACCAAAATTGCGTAGATGTATTATTAAACTTTTTTAAAATAAAGAATTGTGACTTTCCAGAAAATTTTGCAAAATAATTCTCTGACTTTTCCTTGATTTCCCTGATTTCTAGTTTTGTGGCAACCATGTTAATTCGAAATACCGCGTTTTTAGTATTTCTTATTGAGATACGTTAAGTCCAGTGTGAATTTAATTTAAAAGAAGAAATCCTAATATTAGAAATTGATTTAACAATTCTGAATTCTTCCTCAATCTCCAAATATAATCTGATTCGTTATAATGAAGTTCTTGGGAAAGATAGCATAATATGTACACATTACACGTGCCCTCGAAGGAACGAGAGCTGATTCAGACAGGGACACAAACCGCTTTATCGAACAATTTGCAGTTCTACAACTGACAAACGCATCGTCAAAATTAATTAAGCTCCATTATTGAAGAATTTGCAACGCTGCGTGGATTTAACTGCGTTTAGTGCATGACAGTGCGATACAATGTGGTTTACTCTGTTAACAAAGAGATACACGCTTCAGTATGAATTATTAGAATCGCTGTATGTAATTAAACTTTCTATGCCTTTCTACTTCATGTGTGAAAGTATAATGAGAAAAAATCTCTTTACATTTCTACATTTCTACATTTTTATAACAAAATACTAAATCACGTTTCAATTTCACATATCATCGCTTTTAATACGTTTTTACATTTTTTGCATTTGTAATTTTAATTCTTTGACGTCTGAACGGCAATAGGGGTATTATTATTTATAAATGAGACTGATTCAAAAATACCAATACTTTTTGGTAAGATATGAACTCGCGATTATAAATATCTCGGTTATCGCATATAACAATAACATAATATTGCGAAAAATTTATAAAAAGAAAAAGAGATCTCTTTTAGCTTCGTAGGAGAATGGGATCACAGGTCAGACCAATCATCTTAATTACAAGAATTCTAAATAATGATTATAAATATTGTATATTACCTGTTTTTTATCTAATATATTTTACTTCATATAAAATTTATCTAAACTAATTTATTTTATTATATAAATATGAATAGGTAATTACAAAAAAGATACGTTCGATAAAAATTTTCAGTGATGATTCATACAAAAAGTAATGACATTTTATTAAAATTTTTAGCATACTTAATATCGTACTTAATATTAATAATGTAATCTAGTTTTTTAAAGTTTTCATATAACAAAAAATTAAATATAATCATCTATCTTTTTCGTTTTTTGAAATTTTTTATTTCGGAACAACCTGATCATTTTGAAGTATGTTATATTGATCAAAATTACTTACTTATTTTCTTACATGGATAAATAAAAATTTTGTACATTTAATAATTGTTTTAATGTTTTTTTTTTTTTTTCAAAATTGTACTGTATGAACAAATTTGAGTAAAACCCAATTTAATCCTAGAACACATACACATACCCCGAAAACTTCTGGAAACACGCACCATGAATTTGAAAAACCCACTGTAATTTTGATAGGCGATAACTTTAGTTCAGATTAATATTTTAAAACTCTCTTCTTATACGTTAAAGCTCTGAGATTTAGAGATATACTTGCATAGGTTGTAATGCCAAAAAGTTTTATATTGTTAAGTTATGAATTAAAACCGTCCGTTTTCTTTTCTCTCTCCGTGTACGAAGCAAGCGAAATTTTGATTGGATCTGGAAGACCTATGTGTATGTCCTAGGATTAAGATGAAGGTATTAATAAATTTTCTTAGGTGATCTCACCATCCCATTCTTTCCTATCTCAGACTTTCCTTTTTTTTTTCCTCTTTTTTTTCTCCTACAAATGATGACGCAGCGCCAGTGTCCGAGGAGTAGGATTCACGTAGCAGCGGACGAACTTTTTGGCGGGCAGTTATCCACTTCCGTTAGTCGTGCTTTGTGCAGCAAGTCGCATTAACGCGTTAAGCGACTTACATATCGGAGAGATCTGGCGTCGCGCAGATTCGGAGCGTGTAACAATACGCGACGGGAAATGCGGTAATCCGATCACCCTCCCCCGTCGCCGTGCACTTGGCGCTACCGCGCTATTGTTAAGGGGATCCTCTCTTCCTCCCGCCCTCCTATGTTTCACTGTCGTCATCTCGTTGCTGCAGTTTACACGTGTACGTAAATTGCTGGCGATGCATTATCTCCTCGCGACGCGTCCGGCCCGGACTGGCGCGACGCGGAGTTTCCTCTCCGCGTGTCGCCAGGGATTATTTTACTCTGCTTTTGGCGAACGGTTGATTCGCTACTCGACGAACGGTTTCCGGACCGAAATTCAGTCCGACGTGAGAACACACGAATCGAATAGGATTTTAAAAAGAACCGTGATAATCCTATTGATTGATTATATAGATTTTTGTGAATTACTGATTTGTAAATTGAGTCTGTTGAGCATTTACCTTAGTCGTGGATGTTGTGTTCGCTCCTTCGGGAGCCTTGAAGCTCGTGATATCAGGTATAGTCCAGAAGTAGTTCAAGAGGTTTTGCCTGAGTCTATTAATAGTATCTGAAAAAAACCAAATGCTGAAATTAGAAAGACAGTCCTTGTAAACAATTAAGTTAAATTTTAATAAATATTTGTTTGAATAGTACTAAATGTTGAAGTTAAATATTTATTAAATGTAAATCCTAGACACACACACAACATACACAGCATAGTAATGTTTAAAAAATGTATTTAAAACGTACATGTTGGACGTTTGGACATATTAAAAACATCTAAATTATAGATCCATGGATATTTTAAAAACGTTTTAAAAATATCCATTTTGGATTTCTTAAAAACGTCTATTTTAGGATGCAATGGATTAAAACTGAGCTAAATTAATATGTTAAACAAATTTTAGACCACAATACAGCACAAATTTGCACGCTGGAAGCAAAAGATTTCCTAACTCTGCGAGTAGCAAGCTATTATTGCTTGACGATTGCTGCTTGTTGTCTGAACTAAACTTTAATTTGGTAAATTTTTGCGTTACCGAAGGTAACAAAGTAAAACTTAACAAAAGTAAAACTGCTCGTGCGTTCTTAAAAAAATTTTCACTTGGCAAGTCAGCGAAAGCAACACGTTGCGAGCAGACTTAGAAAATTTTTTGCATGAGATAAACATTTTTTAAATGTTCAAATGTAAACATACTTTGTACATTGAATAACGTATGTTTTTAAAACATTCGTATTAAGGGTGCAATCCATTTCACGCTGCAAATGCTTTGAAGCATTCTTTGATTGATCAATTCGTAAAATTCTTTCTTCTGATTGGTCAATAAAGCATTTGCAGTGTTAAGTGGATCACATCTTAAATTTATGGACGTTTGGACCAAATTGAAACCAAGTCTGGATGTTCAATGGATGTTCTATGCTATGATACCAATATATTTTTGGTACAAGACCCATCAATTTATTTAACTATTATTTTTTATTTAATAAATATTTATTGAAGTAAAATGTTAATTAGTACTATTCGACAAATATTTATCAAAATTTAATATTTTTCTCGGTGTAGTAATTTATACATGTTCACGTAATGTTTTTGTACAATTTTTTTTTAAATTGACTGTTTGATTTTTATTTGTAAATGTCAATAACAACGATTTGTATAAAGTGCGCTTGATAATGGACAAATTTAAACAAATTTAAAGCAGATGTAAGCGCCGATGATCGTTTAATAAAAAATATTTGTCAAGCATCTGGAGGTGACGTGCTTATTAGAATCGCGTGCAATCGTCGGTTAACAAAATTGCGCTTTCATGATTTTCGATTTAGGAAATGAAGCATACAGTGACGGACCCATTGAGCCGAACGATGATCAATTTAAAGAAAAAAGTAAAGGGAAAATTCCTACAAATGGCTGTGTTCAGCAGAATGTTGAACCGTCACTTTTACAACTTACAACTGTTGAAAGTTTTCTTCACACACATAGGACTATTCTTCTAGATCAAAAAGTATAATCTAATCGACGCAAAGCGCTTACTAAGCTCTAACTTTGGTTGAACATCACTATCTAATTTGCAGTGAAGCTCTCGTTAATCCATGTGTACGTAATTGTTATCCAATATTTACTGCTTCATTTAATCTATTATATCACATTTTTTATTGCTTTATGTTAAATCTATCATATTATATATCTTCTTAAATTATTATTATTAAATTATAAATATTCTACTTCATTTTTTAAGCCCTGTCTATATGAAAGATTGCTTAGAATGACAGATGTGTCTAAACGGCGCCTACAATAAAATTTATTGCTTAAAACTTAAGTTTCAAGCCTTCAGCTGTAAAAAAATTAACCAATTATGATAACTTTCCTCATATTCGACTGTAATTGCTTAATTTCCAAGGACTTTTAAGGTTTAAAGTTTAAGTTTTACATCTTAAAATCTTATTATATACGTCGCTTTAAATCAGTATGCGTATATTGATATACGAATTTTTCTCAGGATTCTTCCTCTTTATAATTTTCCTCAAAGAAATTTTTCATTATCTTGTTAATTTGTGGTTTAGACTTATAACCGCACTTAACTTGATAGGGTAAACGTTGTGTTTTTCTAACTATGATTAGTCACTAAATTAATGGTTTTGTAGTATGGTAACTGATGGGGTAATGTTAACAGTTATCTACCACAAGACCGTCAATTTGGTGATTATCACAGATAGAAAATACAATTTTTACATTACATTATCAGATTAAGCTTAATTACGAGTTAACAAGAATAAATCAGAATAACATCCAATTTATAAATAAGGATCACAGTATCATGGAGTGAAAACGAGCCTGAAAATGGCTTACCTCCCCGAAAAGAAATAGGAAGTTGCATTTCTCAGAATCTTATCAGAATTCTTGTACAGCGAATCGTGCATCTTTAGTGAATGCACCGTTATCTCCAGTTTTCTTTTAACAATCCAATACTTAGTGCTTTATTGCGATTCGGAGTAAATCAGGCCAGCACGACAAGCCAGGGGGCCGAATAATACATCACAAATAAGAAATAACAAATGAGAGTATAATAAGAGACGTCTACGACTCTATTTAGATTTCTTCAGAAAAGAATCATGTATTCATTAAAGAAATGGTCGTTTCGGGAATGAACATGTAATAATAATCGAATTTATTCGACGGCGCGTTTGCGCTCTCTTCTCTCCTCTTTCTCTCTCGCCTATAATATAAAATTATTTCTCCGGACGATCAGTAATTATTACCGTAATTTAAATAGCGAATGAAATTGAATCGCGTTATTAGAGATTATTAAGAAATTCTTTGTACTTTTTTTTAATATCAACCCTATCAATTCTTTTCTCTGTATCATCTAAGTCTTCTTGCTTAATTCGAATTTCTTTGAATAAATATTTATATGCGAGAATATTTACATGTCCACAGACTCGCATGTCATTATGCAATTCCCGCAAGTTTCGCGATAAGACGTCGTCCGTTACGTGTTATAAATAAAGTGGTAGTTGATCCCACGACCCAGTTATTTTGTAAAATGTAATAATAATTTATGCCATGGTCGGATAGCGTATGTACGCGAGAAAACGGAGAGGACGTCGACCATGCCGATAAATTTTGCATACTTTATTGCGCTTACAATGCGATTGCCGGAGTAAAATAGTCGACTATATCGGCCGATTATTGCTGTGTGGAATCTCAATGAGGACGCGCTGGGCCAGCATATTATTTGACAGTGGCTTCGTTTGCATACAGAAAAATTTGCAATACGCCAGCGAGGGATAGAGGGAGAGAAACGACATCGGATATGCTGCTGAAATCGACGCGTTACCGGCTCTTTGCATGCGATAATTTTAATTAGCTGGCAAAGCGGCCTGTTATTGTTAAAAATGGCTCGTCCGTAATTTTTATTTATTTCGAAATTCGACGCGAGCCGAATACAAAATGCACGATTTATCAAATACGCTAAATCAGCGAAAGGAAATACAGCATCGATTTCACAAGTTTAGTGAGCAACAAGTAACGGTTTTATCATACGAATTGCGGATCGTTAAGTAATTTAGAGTAAAAATATTTAAAAATGTGCAAATTTCGACGATATTTTCATCGGGACAAAATTTAAAGTGCTGGTTTAACGTTATGCTCATCTAATAACGATATAAACGAACGAATTTAAAATTAAATCCATACTATTGGTTTTTTGCGCAACATAAAATCACCGTGATCGTACGTTTTAATGGTGATTTAATAATCTCATAGAAACGAATTTCTCGTTCATATCGGCGCAGTGTGACGTGCTGCAAACTTCAATTACGCTTTCATTTTGATTTATCTTCTGTGAAATAAAATACGATGACGCCTTATTGATGAAATGTGAAACTAATTTATTATAAGATATAAGTATCTCTCTAAATCACAAACACGAACCCACTAAACTAGTATCGAAAGTTAACCAGAGAAGGTTAACCACTGGCCTGAAAATTAAGTGAGACGTATTGCGTATATATTTAGCATATAATAAAAATATAATTCATTTCATGGTTATGTCCTAGCATAATCGTGCTCAATGCGCATAGAAATTACCTTGAAATTATTGACTATTAATTTAAGGACAAAAGAAAGTCTCAAAAATATAGAAGCATGTACCATATATAAAATCTATTAGAGGAAAATGAGTTAATTCTTAAGCGATTTCGTAGTAATATTTTTCAGAAGCATTTTTTAATTTGTTACAGAGGTGAGTTGCCAAATGCGTTTTAGGAACGTAAATCGTATCTCAATGAATGAGTGTGCCGATAGCGTTATCACAATCCTATATTTAAGGATTCCGCTGAATAGGAAATACATTCGACGAAATTATAATAAATAGCCGCGAACAAAAGAATCAGTTGTTTAGAACGCACATAACAGACACGCGATATGCACGAAAATCGCTTGACGAAATGAGACAATATAGGTATAAGCCGCGTACATCTTAATTCTTTTGTGTCAGTTACGAGAAGTATTTGTTTTATGTTATCCGCGCACACAAGAGAAAATGCTTTGTAATTCTCGATGTATAATTTGGATTTAACAAATTAATCTATATCATGTAAATTCAATTATATCATATATTATACATAAATTAATATATCATATATTATAATAGCAAACGGCTCTATTTAAAATCGGAAAATTAAATTTAATGATAAACAACAACAACCTGGAGATAATATTTTGGTTTGTAAAGAAAGATCTCAAATAACACGAGAAACGAACGAGCGATCTCCCAGGGACAGGAACGATAGATTCATTTAGCAAAACTCACCGCGTCAAGACACCTTTTGTAATTCTAGCAACTATAATAAAGTAACGCTTATAAAGATAGATATGAATTTTGTATTCTAAACACCGATCATCGAGATTTTTCTTAAGTTCCATTCTTCTGCTATCAAATAGACAAAGATTTAATAAATTATACATCTTGTTTTATAGGTGTTAACTGTTAGTAGTATTTTAAAAGTCAGATACAGCTGATATTAATTTTTAATTAATTTGCAGTTGATAATTATGTAATCATGCAA